AAAGTCGCCGATTTTGTCTACAATTTGGCAGTCACTATAAATATGAGTCAAATGAGTCAATTTTTTACTGTTTAGTTCAGTTAAATCTAAATAATGCCACATTGTTGGCAATACTCGTGACCTTGAGCAATTCAACTGGTCAAAAAATGGTAGTTTTAGGTTATTTGGATTTTTGATATGGCTTTATACCAGCTCAAATAAAAAAAATTAGGCGTCAAAATGAGCAATTTTAGGTGAATTCAAATAAGGTTCAGATTCGTTGACCGATTACCGAAACAGTTTGAGCATTCAATATTAGATAGAATATTGAACCTAATTGGCACGTTTTTTCATACCTGACACAGTGATGTGCATCTAAACAGTTTTTAAAGGAAAATAAAAATTAAAAGGATAACAATTTTATTGAAAGGATCTTTTAAATGATTACATTACAGTAAACATTGTAATCGAAGTTTCAAGTTCTCAGTTTTTAGACGATTTCTTCTGCATTCCGTCAGACTCTGAGCTTTAGAAAACATTCTTTCCGCTAATGCAGGCGAGGGTATTACAGATAAAATAGTTTTTGCTACTTTCGACAACCTTGGAAAACGTTTGTTTTCTCGTTTGAAGAAGTCAAATGCCAAAATGTCCTCATCGATAGCAAGAAAATCAGAAAATTCTTTATTGAATGTCGTACACAGAGACGTGGGGTGCTGTTTCTCGGGACACACGACATTTTTTTTAAATATGTCTTCAATAGGATCGTCAATAAGTTCAATTGTTTCACTTTCGGCTACTGTAGCTTGTAAAATGTGGGGTTCCTCAGTCGTCAAACTTCGGCCCATTTCTTCTAGGTACAACTTTGCTCTTTCTTCTTCAGAAGGCATCAGTGCTGATCTTTTGTCTTTACTTGGACTCAGCAAGGTTGCCGCACAAAATACAGTAGAGAAATCACCAAATCGTCGTATGTGGGAAAGTGTCGTGTACAATCTTGCACAGAAATTTCTTGCTTCTTGATGGATTCTTCCTTCACGGCTCCATTTGTCAAGAATGTTTGACAAGGTTCTGATAGTAGGTATCACCAAATCTGCATACGGACATTCACTTTCCAGTATACGACCAAGTTTTTGCACGTTTGTAAGAATTTTAGCCATGTCTTCTACCGCCAGAGAGTCTAGAAGATGAAAAGGACGCTTTCTGTTTCTTTTGGCTTCATCCAGTTTTCAAGACACGGTGTATTTCTTGCACAGTTATATCAGATCTAGTACTGTCAACCACCATAAATTCAAGAACTTGAAGTATTTGTGTCCAATTTAGATCAATTGTTGATACGGTAACGAGTAAACACTGTTCACCACGAACGTCGCTCCAATGATCAAGTTGTATTCCAAAATAGTTCGCTCCCTTAATTCTTGAAAGGTTTTCGCTAGCAATCGATTGTATGTCATTTTCGATTGATCTGGAGTTAGGAATAGACTGGTATTCTATAAGAGCCTGGAGGAAAGACCTTTGAACAGGATTCCGGAACAAATTCATTGGTAAGGGCGTTGAAGCAAATGCAAAGGATACTTTACGACGTTTTCTTTCCCTCTCAGTAACAACAGAATTGTTGGTTGATAATCTCATTTGATTTGCAGGGCCACTTGACTCTAAGAAGTGTAAATAAAGATCCGAATGTAACCTCTTCAGATGATCCTTTGCACTGTTTGTGAAGTTTGTTTTAACAATTCCTGATAATTTCTTGGGACAAACAGTGCATTTGTAGCATTTATCACCTTTTAAATACTCGAAATGCTGCTCTAGAAATGGTCGAGTGGCAAACGACTTTCTTCCCATAACTAATTGTTTATTTAGTTCACGTAATTAAGTACTTTATTGATGCAAAGGTAAGTTAAAACAATGTTACATTCAATTCAACGTGCATAACATTCCTCCAACATTGTAATAGTTGAAAGAGCGTAACATCCAATTACATTCTAGTTCATAACGTAATTACGTGCATGATATTCTGTATATCTATGCAAACACATAAGAAACCAACCAACATAAACCGCCAACCAATAAGAAGCAAGCACAAAGACTGGCTCTATGACGCAAGGCAAGCGACTAATCCTTTAAATAAGTTGTAATTTTTAGAGGATCATTTAAATGAAATCCTTTTAAAGGATTGGTATAAAAAGGGCATAAAAATTAAAGGATCCTTTAAATATCCTTTAAAAGGATTATTTAAATGCACATCACTGACCTGACATGCCTTGAATAAATTTAAGTTAATGTTAATCGACACTGAAAAATTAGCGCCCCAATGACTACGAGTTGATAAGCCTATCTCGATTTTTTTAAGGGTTAACTTAATTTACCGTTTCATTATTTTTCAATTTTAGTTCCCCGAGGAGTAGATATATCCTTTGTGTCATTGCGGCCAGAAACTGATCACGTTCTATTTGGTGCACCCTCAACCTCTGATGTCAAACCCATTGAAGGAAGGATAGACGGGTTCAGGATCATATCAATTATTCCAGAAATCTCCTTTTTTCAATTTGAGCAAGTAAACGTGCCAGCTGATGGCACTATAGCTCTGCAGTTTCCTCCCGCTGGCGTTTTCTCAATTCAAATCCAGAGCTTCATTTCTGGATGTGGTCAGCTTAATTCCCATGAAATTGCCTCCATTCAGTACTGCTCTCGTAAGTCAAACATTTTTCAGACTATTTAGCCTCAGGTAAAAAGAAAAAAACTTAACAGATTTTCACAAAAAAAAACAGTTATTTCTTCGTGCCGGTCATGATGACTAAACATTAAGCAATGCGAAAAATTCAGAATGGGATTTCGAAAACCAGACTTTTTGATTGAAAAAAAAGCTTCAATATTTTCTGAGATTCTTTTAGATCAGGGATGGTAGTTATCAAATCAGGGGCGGATCTAGGAACTTTTTGAATGGCGGGAGGGATGAGGATTTGAACATTTTTTCACAGTTTTGACGATTTTCTTAGGTCGACCCAATGGTTTTACCGAGTGTTTCCAGAACAGATTTTTTCAGAAATTTTATAAGAAAACAGGTTGAAAACTCAATTTTAGGCACTTTTTAAGGGGCGCTCTCTCTCTCAAAGTTAGTATATATTGGCGCCAAAGGTGCCTTTGGAAAATATTTAAGATTGATTGACAGAAAGTGGATGCTTTAACTAGTACCATATGACTCTTCTGTTTAAGAGGTGTTCGAATCCCAGAGTGGGGGCATCCTTCCCTTAAGTTGCCCCTGTATCAAATTATGGTAATTGACATTGTGCGGCTAAATGATCGGCCCAAATTATTGATCAATAATTAAAGCCAGTTTTTGCAATTTGTTTTTTTTTAAAATCTAAGTTGTCGTGTTGTCCGTTAAAATGCTCAAAACAACCGCATTAAATTAAATACACATTATTTTTTTTGTTTTTTTTTGTCTATAAACAAGTTAAAAATGGGAATGAATTTATTCTTAAACTTTTTTAATACATTACCAAACTTCTGATGCTACAAATCAAGCCCTCGGCACTAATTGATAATTCAATCAGTTTTGGACAGTTCAAAGGGAGTTGATTGATTGAAAACTTTCGCGCTTTCGGTCCATCGCCCATGAAAATAGTCCCCGCTGGATACTTCTTGGAAAATGGAAATTTTTTCTATTGGTTGAGGGTGGGTTTTACAATACAAAATCAACCAAGCTTTACCAAAAAAAAATCAGCCGTTCTAGTATAAGAAACAACTGATCAATGGGAATATCTTAGCTTGAGGTTTCCACTGGTGGCGCTGCGCGCGCGTTGTCGCATCGCGGAAATGACTGGCTCTAAATGTCCAAAAACATCTAACCTCTGTTGGCAAGCTCGTAACCTGTTACGCTACTGCGGTGGTTACTATTCTGGTGATTAGGCTGTGTATTTTAAATGCTGCTAAACAAAAAATTTAACCTTTAATGTGCTCAAAAAGTGACCAAGCAGAATTTGAGTTGCCTAGTTTGGGACCGAGTATGACCAATTTTTCTTTTTGGTGAAAATGAAAATTGGTTCTAATAGAATTTCACATGAATGAGTTCAGCGAAACAAATAACATCCATAGTGTACTTGGAATGCAAACCTTCCATTTTTTTGTAAGGAATGGAAGGTATGAATTGCTTAAGATAGTTTAACTTTGCTAGAAAGTTTTTTTTTTTCTTTAAATAGCCTGAAAAAAAATTTAACGGGAATCTCTATATAACTAAAAGTTTAGTTTTTTGCGTTGGTCATTTTCATAATGACAAACTTGCAAAATTTGCAGAAGTTTCACTGATGATTTATGATAAATGCATTTCGCGCAAACAACGGACTGCAAATTTTCTACCTTATGCCAATAAAATTTTTTATTGGTCTCAATTTATAATTTACACGTTCTTTCAAACTATAATCTACATTTCTACATTTCAAAATTAATTCACCATTAAGAATATTGGTTTTTCATGCATTCAAGTAGGTTTCCTATGTTTCTTTCGCCTTAAGGGGAAACTTTATCCAAAAATCTCAGCCGTGAGATTTTGCGAAGTATATGCTATAAAATAGCAGAAACTGTGAAAAGCATTAAGCATACCAAAACCAGAAAAAATACTCTTGAAAACATTTTTTTCTAGAACAAGAGTCTTCTTCACTTATGCAAATTGAATGCAAATCTTGCAAAAATCTTGCAAAATGAATGCAAGCTGAAAAAGCAAGAATAAAGTTCTTTTAGAAAAATTGTTTGCTAAGTTTTTTTTGCAATTTTTGTGATTTCAATTTTATTCCAGGTCCTGATCCGGTACTTAACTTACAGCAAACCAATTCAACTAGAACTGCGATCCAACTGTCGTGGACGGAGCCAGTTAGTGGATCTGTAAGTCATCATGCTTATCAAATTATAATCAAGACCCTCAATGGCGAGACTCTAATTGCCACCAGACTTCCGGTTGCAACTCAAAATGATGATGTCATTTCTTTCGACTCCTCGAGTGTCCAGGATCTTCCTGTTGCAACTGAGTTTGTTTGCTCTGTGCGAACACTCGTTCCAATTTCATGTCCACAAAGTGACGAAACTCAAGACATTGAGTACAACAATCATGCCAGCACTCATCACATTGAGTGTCAAACAAAGGGTGAGTCAATAAAACTGCCAAAATACAAAGGACCTGGAGTTATAAAATGAAAATTTACGGAATAATAATTTTACCATATTAAGATATATAAAGTTAGAGTAAGCTTAAAGCTGCGTGGTAATATGAGCAGTCTGCTTTTTAGGCTCCGGTGGTGAGCCCCTGTCCTATAATTTCTACTTCCGCAGTCCTACTTTGGTAATTGTGGAATGGGAAGCACCCGATGACTTCATCAATGTATCCAGTAATGATTACTACTCAATTCGTCTGAATGATCAAGAAGTAGAGTCGGTCAGGCCAATATCAAGGGGTAATATTTTGAAATCGTCGCCATCTTTCACTCAAAATATTTATGCGAAATCAAAATACTTCTTGAAATCTTGTATAAAGATTTGTTGGATGTTTTTGATGAATCATGTCTTGTCTTTTTTTTTGGACGCTAACAGTTATTTGTTTTAGCGCTAAGTGTTCTTGTTTTTGTGGACTTGTGCATTTCACAGAACGTGACTATTCTGCCAATCAGAGAAGGAATGAAACCTGGAGTTGTAGAGATACCTGTGCGAAACTGTAAGTGTTGGAACGCGTTGCTACAATGCTTAAAATTCGTCAGGTATGATGCACACATTTTTTTTAATCGAGGCAGGATGCGTGTTCAGGTCTCCGTCATTTTGATTCTTAAATTTTTGTAATGAAACTTAAGAGACGGTAAATCAAAGCTATTAAGATCCTAGCATATTCAATGATGTTTGCTTTTTCTCGAATAACGCAAGAAGGAGCAATTCGACACCTTTTTCTGTTTACTGAAAAAAAATTAGGAAATCAAGTCCTTCTTGGAAAAAAATTTCTGAGCGATAAATACTGAGAAAAAAGTCACCCTTCTTAATTAAACATAGTCAAAAAGTTTAAAGAATAGTAATTTTTGTTTTTTTATAACTTATTTAATAATGATTTTAATAAAAATTCACTCTTAGTGATAATAATCCATTTCGCAGAATTTTAAATTTTTCGATGAAAATCTTCAGCTGAAAATAGATACCGTAAAATGGTACGAAAGTCGGAAAAATTCAGCAAAGCGATTTTAACTCAGCTGACTGTCTCCGGCTTTTTCTCAATCTATTTCCCACGGCATGGATCCGGAATAAGCAGAATATGGTTGGGAAAAGAGAGGGAGAGGAGTCCATTTCTGTTTTTTTTTTTCATTCTTAATTTCTTTATGTACTGTCTGTAAGTATCCTTAAATAATCAAATTCAGATGGGGTCCGGATTTACTTCGTTTACCTTATAATGAGCTGCGTTGAAGCTCTGAGCTGCAAGCAAGGCTCTCTTTCTGTGATTTCAACTGCTGTTGAAAACAAAATATTGAGCACAATGAGTTGAGCTGGAAAAATTTTTTTTTGAAAATCTTCGCTTGGTAAACTGAATATTCTACTAAATTCAGTTGACCGCTTTTTTTGTTTAAAAGTAAATTACTGCCCGCGCCTGACCTCCAATTGTTTTCACAAAGTCAGCCTCTACACACACCTGACCCTCATTTTTAAAAATTCAAAAAATTTCTTAAATTTTCCGCATAACAATTAAAAAAATCATTGCTGGTTCAAAGAAGCATCAACTAACGACAAAAACTTGAAAACATTCAAAGAAGTGTAGGTCTTATAGCCATTTTTTCAGTAAACGTTTTCAAAATTGTTCAGGTTCAATTTCACATCGCGGTTTGAATTTTTATTTTTTTCCTGTTCAGTTAAGTCTTATTTTCCGAATGGAAGATAAATTTTGGTTTTCAACAGCAGCAAAAATGTAAATGGCGCAGAAAAATGTGGTCTATTTTGTGTTCTGCTGGAAGCTTCAAGGTTATTGTGAAAAAATGTCAGTAACAAAAGATTTTCGAATCCATAAGATTAAAGGCCTTAAAGCGTGATCGAATGAATACTTTTGTGCAAGTTTAGTACAAGAAAATGGTCAATTTATAAGTTAGTTTATTATCGATTATTTCGTCGTTCGGAGAATACGCAATATTTATGCTCGGGTTAGTTTTTCGTGCAGTCAGTTTTGACTTTTACGTAAAGGTTTTCGACGGCAAAGTTTTTTTTTCACATGAAATATTTGATGTTTGGAGCTCAAATGCAAAAATTAAAGTGCCATCTAGCGCATTCTTAAGACACTCGTAAGCAGCGGATTGAATCGGTTCAAATTAAAGTGACGCAAGTAATTTGATCTTCTTATCAGGATGCCTGAAGCTAAAAATATCATTTTTTATTATTCATGGAGCTATTACAAAACAGTCTTAATAAAATTTTTCAGCTTTCTGGCGGCTAAACCCGCTTATTTTCGGAAAAATAACTCATATATTTATTATTGTTTCAGGGGAAAATGAGGAGTTCATCAAACGTGATTTGGGTTCGTCATTTAAATATAAAAAATAATCAAAATAACTCAATAGTCGCTCAACAAGTTCCACTTTGTTTTCAGAACAGCAGAGATACGCGGTAATGGGTGAGCTTGCTTTTTTTCTTCAACTTTTTTTGTTTATTTTATAGAAGAAAACTGCATAAACAGTTTTTCACAATTCCCTAATAAAAACTTCACAAGTTTTTGCTCGTATTTAGAAAAATGCGGCTTCTGTCCTGCCGAGAGTTTGGACAAGTTGTGCAGGATTCCATTTGAACACAATGGACGGAAGTACAACACATGCATTCCAGTCACTAGCAAAGACACTCTACAATGCAAAGACAGTGAAGAGAATTTCTTGGACTGCTTTCATGATGACAGAAACAACATGTGCAGTTAGTTGATCGATTTTTTATAAAGAAATCAAAGGAAAACAAGAAACTAAGTTTTTCAAAATAGTAGATTTATATTGTGTCCCGGATAGCGTAGCTTTGGTAGCGTAGCGTAACAGAATCTTGGTAGCCTAGCAGAACATCGTAGAAAAAAATATTTGCCAAAAGCAGTAGAAAATTCCAGACAAAACAATTTAAATCATATATATAATTCTACAAAAGAATGATTGCTGAAGACCGGCCGTAAACAAGTGACATTTAAAAAACTTCAAACGTAAGAAAAAATCAATAATGAAGAAAAATTGCCAAAGCTTAAGAAGTTTTATAAGAAAAATTTCTGTGCAGTTACATGATCAGAAAATTGTGAAATATAACGTAGAACACAGATAAATAAGTAAAAATCACTACTAAACTATTTTAGGTAAAACTCTGAACGTGTTAACTTCTAGTTTTTGTTTCAATTTTTTTTGCTTATTTAACAAACTTTTCAATTATGAAAGATGATAGCGTACTTTTCTAACGATTTTTTGCGCGGTCTTATAAAGCTCAAGGATGAAAGCTAAATTTTTTTTATTAGCTGGATAATAGTGTGTTTCAGTCAGTCATAAAAACCGTCAAACGTCTTTCAAGAAAAAAATCTATTTTATTTGAAACTTAGTTTATAAAGCTGAGGTTCGAATTAACATAGAATTAAGATGTGATAACAGAATACTCACTAAAAACAGCAAAGTTTACTGGCCAAAAAGATACTGATCATTCGAATTGTGAAGTTTATCAGATGGTCATTTGTTCGTAGTTTGTTTGACTACTTAATCTAAACGCAGTTCATATCTTCTGGTTTTTATATTTTGGTGTCTTTCTTCTGCCTTGATTGCTGATCAGCATAGAAGTAATTACCTTCTGATTATTATAGATGAGAAAACAAATACTTTCAAACAAGGAGTGACAAAGCATAGGTTTATGCGTAGAAAATTATTGTACAGATTAATACCTTCTTGGTAACAAATGACCATGCAATCATACTTCAGGAGGTCGTTAAAATGTTTAATAGTATACTGCTCAAAAAACCACGATAATCAAGCCAAAATCTGGCGGAATTTTTTCTTGCCAAATTAACCAAGACTGGTGGTTTCTCATAAAAACAAGTTGATGAAACTAAATTGGTGAAAAAATTTGTTCAAAATTAGTAATTTTCAAGTAAAAAGTAAAAATGAGAAGAAAAATCAAGAACGAATGTCTGGATGCAAATAAAAAAATTTACAGACTACATGTCTCACTGTATGATTTGATACTGAAAAACAGAAAACGGTTCATACATCACAGAATAATGATGTACAACAAAGTAAAAACTTGACACCTAGCGACGAACTTCTAGATTACATAAACAAAACATTTCAGCAAAAAAAGTTTATTTGATCGAAACAGATTACCGCTACAACAGTTAGGCTACGTTGTCGAAATTTTTCTCTTCCATAAAATTGCAACCAGGCTTTGAGAACAGTTTGAACATTCGCATGCTAAAAAACTTAGACTGATTTAAATTGAACCGTTCAACTAATTTGAACAAAAATTCAAAGACACAAACTTTGAATTGTGGCCCTGTTGTTAAGCTAACCTTGGCAATGCGGGGTTCTCAGATGTAAGTATAGGTCCATATCATTGATTCACGAATTCGCTAAAAGGTGACCATTAACAGATTTTGATACCTCCATCCTAGGGCTTTCTTTCAACATGGGGACTCCCCTAAGAAAGGACTCTAGCATAAAAAGGAACCTCCATCAAATTTGGGACACGATACAATACTAATCATATCCTATGCAAGCCATTTCATACATTCTAGGTTATTGAAAAAAAATGAATCAAAGGTTAATACTCTCATTTATTTTGTGCATTGGCATGTACAAAATGGTGCTTTTTTTTGGTGTTCTGAACACAGTTCAGTTAGTGTTTGTATCAGTTAGAGTGCGTCAGTTCAATTTGGAATGATTTGTTATTAGTAGCTTACAATTAGAAATTTTTAGCCGCAAAAAAACCACATGAAGACAAATTTTCTTTTAGTTATTTTTTTATTTTGAACATAGGAACATCAAATTTGTTCCAAGAAAAAATATTTTGGCAAGTACCAAGAAAAGATGTTTGATAGATCTTAAACAACGAACGTGATCCTTCTTAAATGCCCAGGGTGTTTGTTGGATTTCAAGTTTTGTTATCTGATATTATCAACAACAAGCACAACAATGAAAATCGCAAACATTGAAAAATGCACTGAAATTTATTTTCCCTTTCAGTGGGAAAGTTTGCCGTAGCCAGATTTTGTCTGGGTGTTTACTTAGAGGGAATTTTTGAGAGGGAGTTTTTTTTTTAATTGATAAAAGAATGTTGGCCTATTAATTGTTGAATTATTCTAGATCACCGATTTCGATTTTGGTATAACTGAAAACTTTTTTCCTTTATTCTTGTAGTTTGTAAAATTACTGAATCTGATATTTTTTCTGGAAAAAAAAATTCCGCTTTCAGGCTTCTTTTGGCTTCAATTTTTTCCACTCTAGTCATTGATTTTGTGACCTTATTTTACTTAGTTCAAACAATACTTTTCCAAAAATTATTCAATTACAATCATTTCGTTTTTAACTCAACAGAAGTCACACAAACATTGTCGGTTTAGTTATCGCTCTACTATAAGTGATTGAGGGGCAGTTGTGGGGATAAATGAGGGCCAAAAAATATCCGGCACTTGTTTTTCTAGACGTGTTTTCGTGAAGTTGCTTACCATATAAGATACGTTTTTAAATTTTTTAAAGCAGTTTGTTATCGATTTTTTTTGCAGCTGGTTGCATTGCTATATATTTTTTGATTTTTAAAACAGAAATCAATTCTGTATTTTTGACAAATCAAAGTAACCTATAATGCTTACTCAACGTGAAGTATAACTTTTAACAACACTATTTGACAATACCATGCAATCATTGGTTCCTTCTTGCTGATACGATTTCCATGGCCACTGTTCTGGTAAGTTTTGATAAAGCATCGACGTCAAAATTCTTCAGTGAAATCCCCAGAAAAAAAATTCTTCCACATTTTGTGAAGGTTTCAGTTGCCATCCGGATCCATAGACAACTTCAATTAAATTACGTAAATAACAATATGATCGATCATTTTTGTAAAATTTACTGACACTGAAGATCAATTTTGTAGTTAAATTTTAAAATGAGGCTGGCGTTTAAATTGACGAGGCAAAATCTTTTTAGTTTTTTGTGTTGCACGCTAATATTAAGCTTTTTTTTTCACAAAAATTAATGATTCAGTTTACAATCTCAAGCTTACGTTTTTAAACCATTGATTAGATTTGAAAAATTGTGTTTTCAAATAAGTTCAACATCCAATTTACGTTTCATTACTGTAAAGAATTCAAAAAAGTTGTTTTGCATAATGAACATCAGATTTTTTATTGTATGGCGTACCCCGTGCCTGATTTTTGAAAACATCTGTGTTCGCTAATCATTTTTCTTGATATAAATTCTGCTATCTCAACTTCTGTTTTGAATTGCTCAACTTCTGTTTTGAATTGACATATACGGCGGAACAAAAACATTTCATATAAAACTTTTTTTGACAAAAAAAAATTAGAAAAAAAAACAATTTTGACGATATAATTCCAACTTTTTTTCACAATTTTAAAATTAAGTCGAATTTTTTTAAACAAAAACAAGTAGAGAATACAAAATAATAACTGTCAAAATTACTTTGCGTATGCTTTTTAGGCGCTTTAATTCGGTGCCAAATTTCGATTCTTTTCCAAAATTTTGAATTCTCGGAAACATCGTTTCAGACTTCAAAAAAATCCATTCGAAATTAATTTTTTTTAGAAATGTGTTATATCTAAAGAAAACCCCCGCAAATAGCAAAAATGTAAATTTACTCAGACTGAAAAAAAAAACAATCAATTTTTCTACGCTGTTTTGTGGCGTGTGGCGTCTCTCTGAAAGCTCAATTTCAGAATGGTTTATAGGATTCAGTGTAGAGAATCATTCCGAAGATACATTAACAAATAATAAATTTCTTTGATAGAATTCTTCTTCAATTCTAACTTTTAGAACCCTCTGCACCGGAGTTGGGACCTATCTCATTCCAGACTCTGGTGGCCGGCAAGTCAGTTCGCCTCTTTTGGACTGTCTCTTCCAACTTGTACGACTATTTTGAAATAGTGATCAACGGGCAGCAGCCAACAGTGGTGGAAACAACAGGTAGTCAAAAAATTAATTAAAATTAACGGATATAACAACCTCTCTCTATTATTTTTTGAAGTTGAAATTCAATTAAAAGACCCATGACTGCACAAAAATTTAAGTCGCTTGACGTTCTGATTACAGAAATACCATTGGCTGACAACTTTTTGCTTTCGGTTTTTTTTTTGGCAGAGAACGCTGAAGAGTGAAAATGAGTACTAACCAATCCACAAAAATTAGTTTTTTGCTCAAGAGAGAAAAGAATTCGTTTGTGAAAACTGATCAGTAGGAGGATTGATTAGTTCTCAATTTCACTCTTCATTTTTTTTTGCCAAAAGAACCAAAAGCGAACTTTTGTCAGCCAATCAAAAATAAATCAAGCGAAATAAGCGCTAAATCAGACCATTTTGATGATTTGAAAATGCCCTTTTGATAAAAGATTTTTGCACATTTGGCCCTGCGCTCTCTAGATAAACACTGTATCTTGGTATCTTATCTCGAAGAAAAAAAACATATTCAACTCAATTTCCTATTCAAGTATACTTGATCTTAAAAAACAACTGAACTACTGCTGCATACTATTCAAATTTTGAATGCTTGTACAAAGACGGGGGATATTCTCATTATGAAATGGACCAAATGATGGAAAACTCCTAACTATTCAGAATTGTTAGAAGTTCCTTCTGGCTAGATGACTCTGGCACAAAACCGAAGTCATTATTAACAGAAAAAGAAATATGACAGCACTGTGAAATTTTGCTGTAAATTTCGCGCAAGTATACAAAACTTCTTTTGTTTTTTGTTTACTTTTCTTAAAATATGAGTTAAAGTTTTTTTCATTTCCTACTTTTATTTTCCATTATTTGAAAAATTCTTGTCTGCTTATTTTCTAATCAGTTATTTTGTATTATAATGGTTAGAATTTATTTCGTTTTTTTTTAGACCTCGCAAAATCTATAGAATTTTTGAAGACCCATTTTTATTGGCTGAAAAAATCTGAAAATGATGTTTCAACATTAGCTTACTCCGTGATGAGGGACGCCACCTATAAAACCAATCAACAATTGCGAGTAAAACAGATGTTTCAGCGGGAATTCTACTAAATGGACTATAGTTTGTTAATGAATAACAATATCTTTTGGCTCAAAATTGGTCTCATCACCACTCATTATAACGATATATATACCGATCTAAGGGAAACGAACCATCTTGCTTTTCTTCGATTCAATTTTGTTTTAAAAATATTCATTTTAATTTTCCACTATTTAAAGGTGTAGAACTGAAAAAACCCCAGATTAGGTCAATGACACTCGCCTCATATTCTTATGAACTTTCCTAGAAAAAGTTGGATTACAAACACACAAACTTAATTAGTGTATTATATTAATTGATGATGTTATCCCAAAGAATTTAATTTTCAGTGTGTAAACCAAAAAAAGTGGCGGTAAAAAGCCAAAAATTCTAGCTTTTGTTGCTTCTTTGATTTTCATCATTTTTTTTTGTATTTCAGAGTTCAACGCGACCAGTTTGATTCCCGGCGAAATGTATGAAGTAGAAGTGTACATGTACAGCTTTCATAGACGAATCGGACCCCAGACTCTCGTATTTACCATGTGTTAGTTCCAATTAAATACTTTGGTTAATTGAATGGTCAACTGAAAAGGCACTGAAAATTGGCGCTAAAATCATTGTCAAGTATAAGATTTGTGCTTAATTGAAATATTTTTTTTTCTTTCCGATCCTAAAGTGATGCTTTCTTTTCAAATAATCATAACCAGTCAAACCATTTTGAGTTGCGCTCCATAAATCGCAAAAAAAGTGCATTCTTGCAAGATGTTGCCTATATAGTGTGGTTTTTTATTAAATAGGAAGCCGCAGTCTTTTTTCATATATGAAATGGTATTTAGTTTTAAGCCAAAAGTATCTCTAATTATTTGAAAAGTAAAATAAAAGGTAAAAAAGTAAAAGTAAAAGGTTAGGCGTGTTATCTCGACTCAAAATATAAAGTCCTTTGGTAGTTTTTTATTTTTGTTTTCAGCAAATTTGGATGGAAATCTGGCAACCACAAAGATCACATCAGTATCTGCTACTTTGGTTGTCGAAAGGAGCGAACACAGTTATCTTACAAATTCATCTGAGATTTGTCCGGTTGACCAATTAGAATTGACTTCTCATATTCAAGACACCGACTTCATTCCAATTTTTCTCTCTCGAGAACAAATAGAAGCCAAAAGTTCAACCAAAAGGGTGGATGCTTCAAATGAGCTGGAAATGGACCAATTGCCGTCTGGAATCTTCGTTTGTTTTGTCGTTGCTCCAATTGACGCGTGCACTAATACTACAATAAGGAATAGAACTCTAACAAGCTGTGCTCCTATTGGTAATAATGACCCACACTTTGCCCATTTTTCATAATAAAAAAACAATAAGAAACTTGAAAAACAATCAGATTTAACAAAAGTTTCGCGATGTTTTTAATTCACGCTAAAATAGTTTCATGAAAAGTTCATGATCGTTCTACATGTGTACCTATGCTGAAATGTTTGCAAAAGAATAAGTATCGCTTTGCATCAAGATCGCTTTGCATCAAATTTAGAAGCACAGGAGAGTTTTGTGAGTTTAGTTCCTCAACCATTGAACGAACTGACGAGCAACTTGACCTTTGTTGTTGAAAACGAGAACGCCACAGCAGAGGGGAGGGGAGTCAAGATTAGACGCACAGCAGAGGGGAGGGGGGTGAACATAAGTGCGACATTGAGCCAGCTAACTGCCGCTGAGTTCATCAGTGTATTAGTGACTCACTCAGTTCCAGACATCACAGTTATTGACAGTGAGATTTTTTTGATTTTTTGTTTTTAAAATACATGTATCAGATATCACCAAATCTCAGACTGCTGCTTTTTGCGAAAAAAACGATCACTTCAAATGCCTTGATTGGATGAGAGACGGTTGATCTAAATAGGTGTATGTAAATACCCTTTGCTTGTTAGATTTTTTTTATGAAATCAGTAAAAAAACGCTGAAGTTTCAATTAAAATAAATCTCAAAAATATCGAAGTTAACTTTCTTTACAATAAAGTTATTAGCCATTAAACTGTGAGAAACAATACAGGTTTCAGCTTCAATGTAATGATTTGAAAATTTTCTACAATTTATGTATGAAATCATTCTTTTTAGATAACGACCTGAAACTGATGATCAAGGGCCAGGAAACCCTAATAAAGAACACGGCATCTTCCGAGTGCAGAACTGCCTCTTGTGTATCTGTATCGGAAGATTCAGGCGAAATCCTGTTCAGCTCGGAAGTTGTAGCACCTGAGAACTGGGAACCGGGTTTGAGATCTGAAGTGGAAATATTCACTCGAACTGGATTTTCAGAATCAGAACGCACATTTGTTTATCATTATGAAGGCAAGAAGACCATTTTTTATTTGAGTTTTATCCCAGACTTTGCGTGAATTGATAATTACAACAGCATAAAGCAGCTCCATTTACAAAATATGGGTCAGGTGAAGGTAGGCTTGGAGGTTTAGAAACTTGTTTCCACTCCAGTTAGGAGATTCCATGTTAGGAAAAAAACCAAAGTTGCGCAGGGCTAAATAAAAAGAAGCATAAAAACAAAAAAAATCGAAACAAAAATTGAACTAAGTTAAATTGAAAACGCTCAAAGTCGTTTAAAGAAATTGTTGGAAATAATAGCAATTTATTTTTCAATTTTCAAAAAGATCACTTAAAACTTTAATACCTAAGGACCCGCACTCCGTAAAAAGAGAAAATAGTCGATTATATTACATTTATAGTTGTACTTTCATCAAAATTTATAGTTAATCGTATCTATAATAATGATAACATTTAACATTTTTCGTGACCTCGTAATAAATTATAATCAATTATAATTGATTATAATTTTTCCGAAAATCTCTTATAATCTCTTATTATCAATTATAATCTATTATAATAGATTAAAATCCTTTTTTCTGTCGAAAATCTGTAAAATGAGATGTCTTGTCATTCTTTGGATCATTTGAACACAAAGTTTACCACGAAACAAAAATTTCAGAGAGATCCGCTCAAGCTAGTTGCAAGAATCCCGCGGTGAAATATTACTCCTCTATATAAATCATGAAACTAAAGCAGTGTGCTGATATTTTGTTGGTAAAAAAACTCAAAATATGAATCATGAAACAACTATAATCAAGAATAAAAAAGAGACGTTTTAAAATTTACTTGATTTGAAAACTGTTAAAACAATTTTCCCATTTCTACATAAAACAAAAAGCTCTGTCTACAAAAAACATGAAAGATAAGCAACTCAAGTGGAAGATCTAAGACACAATTGGAAAACAAAAGGGTTTATAACAAATTATAATCGATTATAATGGATTTTTTCTGCAAAACAAATAAATTAGAAATTTGGATAAAAATAATCGGTTATAATCGATTGTAATGTATTATAATTGATTATATTTGACTTCAAAATGAGAGATTATAATCGATAATTAATTGCTTAAACTCAACATTTTTCTCAATTTCTGTAAGACTGGTACTAAAATCATATTATAATCGATTATTTTTGCTTAAAATTGGATGCGGGGAGGGCTCCCGCGGTAAAAAAAAAATTTAGGCGCGTTGATTTTTTTTTCCAATTCCTAATTGTTAGTTACAAACTTTGTAACCAAGATGAAACGAAATTGAGGATTAAAAAATCATCTCATCGCTTTTTGAAGTCAATGAGTTTTTTTGCTTTTTCTGGTCAACGATTTCCACAAAATGTCACGCAAAAAGCATAAATTGTAATTTTCTTATCGACTAAATTGCATATGGTCAAACTCGTTCAAAATTAAACAATTGAAATCAAAAAGGTTGATTTGAATCTTGTTTTGCTGAAATAAGTTTAATCATACTAGGAAGCGATGAACTTGCTTGAGTTATAACCAATTACGGTCGAAAGGGTCGAGCTGAAACTTGCGCAAATGAGTTCGTCAAACATGATATTGCGTTAAATTAGGTGCCACTGTCCTCAGCATTTTGGTCTAAGCATTCAGTCGAAAACTCAATCCGTGATTATATGAAATTCTGATTTCATTACGAGGCCAAACTATGCATTTTGTGCATCGTAAGTGGATTCCGTAAAAAGGGCGCTCCCTTGGTTCTTCTTTTGTTCTTTAATTTCCTTGGATCGTTCCGACAAACTTTTAACATGTTTAAAGACTTGTCTCTGGAACCCAGGAACATACAGACACAAAATTGTGTGTCTATCCAGTGCACAGTTTGGCCTCGAAATGTTATTGGAATAAAAACTTTGAAAGTTATACACACTGAAAATGGGAAGGAATTTCATCTTCAGGAGTGTTTTAGTTTTTTTGTTTTTTTTCCATGAAAATTCAGGTGCGACACTCATAACTGTGGTGATTTGAGTAAAATATCATCTAAAGTTCGTTCAATCGTATTTTTCTCAGTTTTGAGAAAAACTGGTTTTAAAATTTTTTCATTTTTGGTCTAAATTCGAGAGAATAAAGTGAGCAAGCAGACTGATCTTGTTTTTCAATCAAAATCTATTTCCTTGAAAAATCATCTGAATGACTCAAGTAACCTTTCATTCTAAAATTCTTTCAGGAGTGATATGAACGAACTCTCTAAGACTTCAGGAAAACTTTTTTGTGTCAAGAAAATTTTTTGAATTTTGGTCTAGTTTCGGTTGATTAGAGCAAGTGAGTCATCCTATAACTTAAAGTTTTCCCTAAAGTAGTAAATAGTTTAGTTTTACTCCAGGAAAACTAGTTTTGCAAACTATGTTCAGAGCTTCGTTGGGAATAAATGTTTTTTTTTTAAATAGAATTAATCTGCAAAAAAATTCGAAAATCTTAAAACAAACCTGTTTTCCTTGATATATTCTAAATTAGTGATGAAATTGAAGGAATTTTTAATTTTTACGCTGTTTTTATAAATGGAAGTCATTATGGTCGTTTAATGGTATCAAAAAGAAAATGTCAAGCAATTGTTGTTTATAATAAATTTTTTCAGCTCCCTACCCAGTGGAGCAATTAGACGTCTATATGGTGGAAGAAACATCTCTCAGCGTGTCTTGGCTGCCTCCTTCTGTTGGATATTTTGACAACTTTCTAGTTGAAGTCTCATTGAATGGCGATATCATACATTCGCAGAAAATGTTAGTACCGGTTCTTCGAATTTTTTCCATTATATTCTGTACGTTAGAATAGCATTCGTAGTAGAATACTTAAAAATTTACTATACCACATTGCATAGAAGCTTTGATCAGCAAAAAAAAACAAATCAGTTCAGTTGTTTTGATTTTGTAAACGAGTTTCGTTTCTTGAATAGGCCAATCTATATAAAAAATGCAAACCAAAGATTCTACAAGACGGCTCAGAAAATATTTCACAAGGTGACAAATTTTGTTCAGAAAACTATTTATACCAAGTACAACACGTGCTTTTGATTGATGTTGAAATCAAATTGTTTTCATTTCCGCATCTAAAAGTCAGGGGCCTCTGGCCAACTTTTTTTTTAGTTCTTAAAGATTGTTCCGTAGAATCGAAGTTAGGTAACCGAGAAAAAATGCGACAAAAACAAAACGAACATCTTACCCAAAAAAAAGAAAACTTTTTATGTTTTTGGTCATTTTTCTCGTTTATAAGTTGTCTCAGTCGAACTTAATTTTAGTGATGGATACTTGAGCTACATTGCCACTGATTTGGTGCCTGGCACTGAATATACAGTTTCTGTCTTCGCAGTCGCAGACCCTCAAGGTCAAGTGAGGTCAAAACCAGTTACTATCACCCAAGATACAGGCAAGTGAAACATTTTCAAGTCCGAGTAACATGTTATGTAAGTTTAGTATTTTACCAGAATGCTAATCATTCTACCAATTTGTTCTTGAAATTTCGGTAGTTTGGGTAGTATTTTGTTAAGTTAATATAGGTTTTAAACAAAGCAATTTGTCGGTTGTTTTTCTTTTTCCCTCGAAGTATCATTAGCATCAATTTTATGGTTTAAATAGGGGGTTTTTCAGGGTAAGGTAAGCAAAACAAATATAATTGCCATGGCCTACTTAACCCATATGTCAATTTTCTTTGAAAAATTACCTGTAAATAAATGAACGACGTAGAAAGCAACAAAGTCCCTGAGGAAAAAAATAGAGGTTGTTGCATCCGACATCATATCCCTTCACTCCCTATATTCGTTACAGATGTGATCTCTAAAAACTAGATCATTAACCAGGGGCGGATCTAGGATTTTCTCGAAGTGATAATTTTTTCAAAATAAAAAATTTTGTCGACTTTTTTTTTAGATCGACCAAAGTGATTTTCTGAGCTCTCCCAAATTACTTTGAAGACCCCATTCTGGCAAAATTTTCTGCGCCGCAAGCAATTTTTTGAAAAAATGCCAAAAAAGGTGTTTTTTGGCAGTTTTTGGAAAATTTTACGAAAAAAAATTGCGTTTTTTCGGCGCGCGCTCCCGCCTCAAAATTAGTCTATTTTGGCGCCTAAGGCGCCTTTAGAAAAATTTTAGGGTCAGTCAGCCAAAAAGGGAAATCTCAAAATAGTAAAAAAAAAAAGGGGGAAAGAGAAGCGTCCGCCCCCCCCCCCCCCCACTCTAAATGGGGGACCCAGCCATCATTATTGTACCCCATTTAAATCTTAGGTTTTCAAGCTTTATCTTCAAACAAACATTTTCAAGCCTCTAGCGCATTTCTTTTCGGTCCATTGCGACTTATGATGAAGATGTTTCAAATTTTGAGAAATCATTTAAAGGTTCCCAAATAGAATTATCGTTTGGAATTTTGAACTTTCTTGTTTTTACAGCTCCAATTGCGCCGAAAAATTTGTCAGTTAACCTGTTATCGGACCTTCGAACAATCGCTGTCACTTTTTATCACCCCGAAGCTGCGAAAATCAATGGGTTCCAAATCGAAATCTTCAAAATCGAGGAAGATGGAAATGAAGTTAAGTCGACTCAGAATGTTCTAGAGGATGGCTCAATCACCTTGCCCCTTTTTTTGAACTCAGATGAACTTACGTGTGAGGTGCAGTTAGCTGAGTTCGCATCAGTGTACTCAGTGAAGGTCAGGAGTTTGAGCATGAATGGCCAACCCAGCATCAGGTTTATAAGTCGGGATGTCATCACAGGTAAGTAGTAAATAGTATTAGTAGCTAAGGTTCCATAAAGCAGCGAACTGTTCTTTTTGATCCCCTCCCTCGGAGTGGTAATGTAAATATGTGGACACGAGCCCAGAAAACAACTGCAAGCTGACTTAAAATTGATATGCTTGTGTTCAGATTACTAATTCCTTGGAAAGTTTCAGATTGGAAGCCGCTGAAATCTTCTTAAGTCTCGTGTTTTGTAGAACCATCGAGAAGTAAAACATTTACAAAGCTCAAAATAAATCTTCGCTTTCTTTGCCTCTGTACCAATTCAACTGAAATGAGTGTTTATTCAGAGATGGCTTTGAATCAATATAAACCGATGTAGGATAACTTTAAGAAACTATTGATTTCATAGTTTTCCCGGAAAAATATCTAGCAGGTTTCCAGGCCTGGATTTCAAGGGTAATCAAGTTTAAAATAAACCAATGCAGCGCTTCAAAGTTTTCGTAGGTTAGTTTTAATTAGTAATGTAGGTAACAACAAGAAGTTATTTTTGTAATTGTTAAAAAATAATCTTAGACTTGAGTGCCGTGGTCCCTAAACGTTTCTGAATGGAAGACTAGGATTTGCGCTGGCTTCGCAACCTAGCTATTTTTTCTAGAAAATTATAATTAAGAGTGGAATTTTTACCTATGACATTTGAAATCTATTATAGATAGAACATTTTTAGGACTACCTGACAAAGTTGTTATTCTGCGTGAGTTCTCCAAGGATTCTGATCACATCTGTTTGTTGTGGGAGATTTTCAATGGGACCAGACGTGGAATTGTGAACAAATTACGCTCCGTGCTTCTACAGGACAACAGTTTTCTTCGACAGAGTCAGACATCGGATGTATCTTCGAAGTCGGCAGAGGTGCCTATGTTTTTTTTAAATTTAAAAATAGAATAACTAAGCTGGTGACCCGCACCGACCGCCCACGGATCATAATCGATTATATTGTCATAATATGGTCAGTACCTTTAAATTTACAAAATAATCGATTATAATCCCCTAAAAATGAATTATAATCATAATAACTTTTTATGTCAAAATAATCCATTATAATCAATTATAATCCATTAAAAACGGATTATAATCTATATATTTTTGCCAATATATTCCATTATAATCAGTTATAATCGATTATAATGGATTTTTCAAGAAGTTACTCATGAAATTTCCAACTTTATTCAGAGTTATCTCATTTCCTGTTTAGTGCAGTTGCTAGGTAAGTTTCATAAAATGTTACATTTCACAAAAAAAAAATTTTTTTTTGTCTTTCATATTCTGATTGAATTTGAGGGAGTGACGTTGGAACATGGCATTTAGTAAACTTTTGCAAATTTCGCGCAAAATTTGCAAAATTTCAGCAAAATTATTCCAAATTAGTTCTAAAAAATGGATTATAATCAATAATAAAGGGGTTATAATGGATTTTTGTTTCATACATAATCGTGGATTATCTTTGCAAAAATAACCGATTTCAGTTACAAAAATAATGGAATTTGATCGATTATAATGGATTATAATAGATTTTTTTTTTCAATAATAATCGATTATAATGGCAATATAATCGATTTTGTGGTCTGGTTCTTACATTTGTAATGGATTAAAATGAATTATTTTTGTCTCGGGAATCCATTATAATCGATTAGATTCCATGGGCGCACGGTGCTTGTGAATTTCAATCGCGAGGCTGCAGAAGTGACTTGATTTCACTGGGATCGTAAAAGCAATTTTAATTCCATTTCAGTTTTTTGGTAGTACCAGATGCATTTTCAAAATCCAAAAAAATGAACTATTTCCGGATTTTGTCGGAAGTGCTGTTGAAAAAAAAGTTTCAACGTAACAAATTCTGTTCAACCATCGACAAAAAATCAAAAAATCAAAAATTTCTCGACAAAAAACAGGTTTGAATTCAATCTTGATCTAATTATCAGAATTTTCAGTGGCACACCTCCAAAAAAAAGAAATTCTTTCAAAAGTTTCGACTTTTGTTGAATGGTTTTAGGTTCTTTGCCAAGATAAACAAATTTGCTTGAAAACCTGTGTACTACTTAAACGGCAAGTAGCCATCCTTGTTTAGCTTGGAGTCGGAATGAAATGTCTGCAGTATATCCACAATTACACTGATGACAACTTAACAGCGCAGCTGTTGTTTTGGAGAGAGCATCAATCAAGTGGTCTAAAGACATCCGCACCAATCAGCCAGTTCAAAATTGTCCCAAACGAAGGTACTGATTATGTACCTTGAAAACAGATTTATAAAAAGTATATCTGAAACTTCATTATGCTACACGATATTTTTTGATCCTTACAATACAAAACTTTCATTGTTTTTCTTTAGCCAACTTCTATTACCATGACACAGCTTAGAATCAATTTTCTCCGAAAGTTACTTTTTCGAAAGTTTATGAGGGCCGCATATTCACTCTACTCAACAAACTTTTAAAAAGTAATGTTTGAAAGTCAACCATAAACGCAGTTGGGCCCAGCGCAAAAAATTTAAGCTTTATTTAATCAATTAGAACTTATTTTTAAAACTACTAATGGACAATATTCATAAGTGTAGACCGGAACTGATATCATCCTTGGCTCCTCTTTGCAACTTTGCATCCTTGGTTTCTTTTCAGATATCACCTTCCACTTGTACTCGAATGTCAGCTGTCAATCTGAACAGTGCACTGTCAATCTTCGTGGAGCTTATCTTCCCCACATAGATATTTTCGTCTTCCTATGCAAAGTTAGTCAGCAAAAAAATGTTTCTAGACGCAATTTCAATCAAAAAGTAATTAAATTGTTACCTTCTTGTTGTCTGAAAAAACACGATTTTGGTCACTAGCAAAAAAATAGACAGGTATTAAAAAAAGTAAATTGCTAGCAATTTCATCAAAAATTGACCCTCTATTTATTTGTTATTCAGCTCTACGAAAAAATTGAAAATTCAACCGAAACAGATTTAATCATCCGAGAAATACTTCTGGAGGGCTCACAGTGTAACAAAGAGTTGAACCTTTGCACCTTCACTTTATCTGAGTTGACCCCGAATACCAACTACACTATCGAGATCCAGCCGTCTTTGTTTGGAGAAAAAATGCCCCATATCTTCAAAGCTGAATTTGTCACAGGTGAGAGCAGTTTTTTTTTCAGTTGTCATGGGTTACAAGATAGTATCAGGTTCTATCCTTCAAAGTTAATATCAGATCAACTGTTGACCTCATCTGTCCAAATCAGCACTAAAAAATTTTTTTACGAAAAAATATGGAACACATCTTGAAAACTGAAAAAGCTATAAAAACAATTGCTTTCTGTCATTGAGAGTATTTAAGACACTTTTTTAACGCCTTGGTGATTTTTGTGTTGTTTTTTTTTTAAGAAAAAATCTCAAAAATTCTTCTCGGTAAATTTGATCTTTTCTGTCTGATTTTAATTTCATAATACGATAAAACAGGGATACCCAATTTGAAACAAGGATAACCATATAAATGAAAGAAGAAAAAGTATTCCAAAAGGTTTTTTTTTTTTCATTTTTTACAAATTTAAGTTAGTTGATGTTTGTTTTCCAGAATAGTTCAGTGATTTAGATGAAAAAATGCAAGAACGATTGAAGATAGTAGGAGAAAAAAACGCAAAAATTTTTCTATTCCTTAAATTAAAATTTTAGTTCAGCCTCTCCAATCGTCTAGTTTAGTCTGAAAGCCAAAATTGTTCAAATCAGTTTGACCTGAACTTTTTTGAAGTCTCAATCAAGACCAGAAGGGCTATGGTATGATTATTAATCTTGCCCTTCTAGAATTTTTTTGACGTCGTAGGTTTTGTCAATCGAACTACAATTACCAGAAAATAAAGAGAAAGTGAAAAATAAAGAAAAACTTAGAAAAGAATCAATGTTTGATTTATGGAAAAATGGTAGTCACTTGTTTCAATAAGGGAAAACTATTAAGATAGTTTTCAGTACGTATGAAGTTATATGGAATTCTATGACAGGAAGTTTTTCATTAATGGAAACTTGTAAGTTCAGAAATTTTTGCCATGTTTGAATTTGGCATAAATTACATGATTCAACATACTCTAAGTTTCCATAAAAAATCAACATATCAGCTCAAGTTTTTGTAAGTGCGGCAACTTGTCAATCGAAAAAAAAATGATTCGAGGTAAGCACCTGGTCGCACTTTTCTCTGGTTGACTCTTACAGAAAAAACTTACAGAATATCGAAAAACTTAAAATTTTCAGCTTTAACTTCCTAGCAAACAAAAACTGAGATGAAAGGTTTCAGTCAGAAAATACTGGTAAAACCTGACGGAAGCAGTTTTTTTGGATTGTTTCAGACGAAACTGATGAGAAATCTCTGAGTGTGCTGGTCATCATAATCATTGTCGCTGCGTCGGTCGCCTTTCTTACCCTGATTGGCTTCGCTTCTGCGCTCTTCTTGCGCATAATACGATCACATCAAAAGTAAGTAAATATCTATCAGGTTTTTGAGCAGAAAGTAACATCCCGCTTTTTTATCTGGTACATCAAAGTATGCATCACGGAAAAACCTCGTCAATATCATAAAAGTCTTGACGCGCGAGGGTAAAACTAAGACACCTGTGAACGGATCAGGTCCAATGTGCTCTCCCACGCAGTAAAGTTGTTGGCTTCATTTATTATCTTTTTAAATTACCTACGACAATGGATTTTGATTAATATTATAACGTTTATGATTATTGTTAAAAAAACATATATCGTGCCTCAAGTTTGGCGACATTACACATTCTTTTTGACTTTAAAAAAAACTACAAAAAGTGTTGTTCTGTTTTTTATTTAATTTTTGTTTCGAGTTTCGAAGCGAAATTAACGGAATATTTGTGCTCGGAGTGGGTTTTTTTTCTTCAGACAAATTTCGATTTTTTAACTAACCATTTTTGAGAGAACTTTTTCTATCTCATTCGAAAGCTATTGTTGTCCTGAGCTTATATTATTTGAAAAATTATTTCACCTGTGACCATTTTTCGTCAAGTTCCAAATTGGTTATAAACCGTTCCAAATTGGTTCAAGGAAGCTTAAATGCCAAAAATTATTTGTTAATAGAAGCAAAATTTATTACTTTGTAATTAATATGACATGTGGGGGGATGTTTTCACAAAAAATCTCAATTTAAAAAAAATATTTTATTTTATTTTATTTAAACGTTTCATGTTATCATTGCTCCATATATCTTAAAAGGCAGTCGGAACATTCAAGGCTTCGCCCTGATACGAGCAGTTTTGTTACTTTTTGTATACTGTTCGTAATATTTGCATCACGTTTACAAAACATATATTCTTCACATGTTGAAGTGGGGTCTATGACAACAAGCTGACGTGACTTCAAGCTGAAGGGACTTCAGGTCGAAATTGAAACTTTACAAGCACCTCAAATCGCTATTTTTTCATCAAAAACAAGTTGCTTATCAAAAATTTAGAAAGTTAAGTCCATAATAAGCGTTATTCATGACAATGAATCAGTTAGGATTGACATCTGATAATAATATCAGCCAGTTTTCAAATGTATAAAATATAAACATGAAATTTGACGTCAAACGTTCTTTATATTTGAACTTTCCTAAACATCACGTTTGGAGGATATTTTTATGAAGAAACCTGTAACTACTGAAGAAAGATCATGAAAATGGGAAATTCTTTAAAAAAGTTTTCAAGTAATTCAAATTTTATGACTTAATGAGAAAATTTTTGGCTTGAAGTCCCTTACTTTATGTTTCGGCTTAAAGTCTCATCGGCCTGAAGACCCGTGAAAGTCGTCCATTTTTCTATTGAGTCAAGTTCCGAAAGGAAAGCACATGGACTAACAGCAACACGGAACGACAAGGCGGCTTACCTTGATCCCTACTAACCTTATCAGTAAGCTTATCGTTTTATGTTTTTTTTTCGCAAAAACTCATTCATTGCTCAATCAAACTCATTCCAGGTTAAGCAGACTATACTGTCTATGTTAATTTATTGAAGACCAATCGTACTTTAAATAATTGTAAGCTTAAATAAAATCATCACAAAACATCAAAGTGCATTACTTTGTATATCATTTTAGAGTTGTCAGTTGTCGGATTGTAATTTCAATTATAGGAGCACAATGTTTCGACAGAAATTTGTTAGAAAATAAACTGCAACTTTTTCCAGCTGGTTTGGTTTTGCGAGCTCCCCCCAAATAAAGAATCATAGACAAAAAATAACACAAAAGATGAGGAAGGTTGGAATTTATTGATACTTTGAAAACATTTTTTGGTTTGTTTTAAATTGTGGGCAGGCAAGTTGTCTTGTTGCTTAATTTTGCAAAATTTTGCTGGAATTTTTTCTTTTTGACAACTCAGACAGAAAAAAATGAGATACGCCGGTTTTAGAATAACAAATCAATTTGGCAAATTAATTTTTTTTTCATTGAATTCTAACAACTTTTTTTAAAACAAGAGTTTGGGATCAAATTAAAGTTTGTTCCGGTTGGATGAAATTTTTGAGAAGATTACTCAAGAATCCAAACTCTGACGTATGAAAAAGAATGTGTAAAAAATATATCGAATTGTTTAAATTTTAATCTCAACCATAATTATTGAAGTGCATCACCCGTATTCGTCTTTTAGAACAGCGTGACTTTAGAGTGAAAAATTTTTTTGAAACCTGAGAGTTGTTTTCTTTTTGTTATCAGGTCAGTTGGAGATGAGAAGGGGGAAGAGCCAACGGCGTTAGGGTACGATAACCCCACCTACTATGGCCCTTACGACCTCTATCAGTAAGCTTACCTCAATGTCAATTTTGCTTCTGGCGACCGGGCTACTTCTTCATCCTATTTTTTTTTCTAACGAGGATTTTTTTGTGAACTCGTTTGATTTTCGTCACGAATAACCAAGGAAGATGTTCACAGTTGGATTGCTATGGTTTGAATTGCTAACAGTTGAATTCTAACAGTCTTTCTATTTATTCCGTCAAAACTACTTTGGATCTCTTTAACTATTTCTCCCTTTGGTAAGGGGGGGGGGGGGGGGGGGGGGGAGATTCGTTACTTTTTACTAGGTACAAAACTCACATAAGCTTAACCATTGAATTATTTCTTTATAGGGGTGGCAATTCGTTACTAGGTACCCTAGGGGGGGGGATAGTAAACGAGATTCAATAATTTAACAGCTCATCCATAACTAATTGAAGATCTTTTACATTATGTTTAAGCGACGATTTTATTTTCAGCCAATCAGATTTGAGAACTATCTTTCCTGGTTTCCATATAAAGATGCTTACAAAATTGAGGCGGAATAAGTAAAAAAACCCAGCAAACTTAGGATTTATACTCCCAAACCAAAGTTCCCTAACAGAAGCAGGTTTTTAGATTGAAAAAAAATGATTGAGAAAATAATAATTAAAATGAAAGAATTGGTTTTGAAGAACGTTTTCGATGAAAAACGAACTTAATTCTCCTCAGCCAGTCCATTTTCATGATTGATGCCAGTTTGAGCTTTTCAAGCTTATATTCACAATCTATTGGAAATATCTTTTTCATTCAACGATTTAACCCAAAACTTTATCTCCCCCAGACTTCAAAAACCAGTTTTTAGCGAGATTTATTCGTAAAGGCTGAGTCTAAACCTAACTAACCACAATGAATAAACTCAAGTTCACCGATTTTGCCAAAGATTGACTAAACATCATTGCGGGTCTGAAATTTTATAGAGAAACTGAATACGGAGAGCCAGGTAGTCATGATGAGCCAGATTACACTGAGAAGGCTGAAAAAATAAAACCAGATGCGAAAGAAGATCTCGGAGAGCCAATCGTCTTTGATCAAGTGATGACCTAGGAGAGAAATATATCAGAAAACAGAAGCTGGAGAAATACTTGTGATCAAAACTTTAAATAGAATATTTCACACTTTTTATAGAACTATATTACTTTACTAGAAAAATTTTTAGCTTCGTAGACAGACTTTGAAATCTTGAAACTCAATTTATAACCAGGTGAATTCAACTAAGATACTAAATCACAGCTTTCTGTTAAAGAAGAGTTTAAGAACAGTGTTGAAGAACTTGCAAAAATGGCAGAAAATATATTTTCTTAATGAAACTGAATTAACGTTGTTATTTCTTTGTGGAATATTACACTGGGAGATTTTGATTTTCAAAACCCAATCATACAATAAATAGCGAATCAATAAACATGTCAAATTGATTCAAAGATTATCAAGAATACAAAAGGGGATTTGTCGTAACCTCACATGGTCGGAATCCGGACGAAATTTGAAAGAAATCGTTGCGCTGATTTTGGTTGTTGTAAAAATCAGAGCAACAAAATGGTTAGCACAGCAAAAAAAGTCGAAAGTGTTTCTCAAATTGGGTTGACTTAAGACGCAAAGTGATGAAATCATAACTTGCAATTACTTTTTGCACCAGAAGTAATATCGTGCAAGGATTTTGCAAAGATCCGGGCCCGAATTTTTACCCCAATAATTTTATTCAATCCAATCATACGCTTTTGGAGTTTTTTGGCTTGTTTAGTCAATCAAATGATACCCCAAAGCTATCGCTTCAATTGCTTGTAAAAATACATCATATTGAGCTTCCATGTAGTCCATCAAAGTTTCAGAGCGTAATATCTCCAAAAAGTTGGGCAAAATGGTTAACAAACGTTTTTAAGTTGAAAACTGCTTTTTTAGTTAGTTAAAATCTTTTTTTTTAGCTATCAAATGAAAATGAATTTTGTATACAGACAATAGCGGATTTAAGGGGCAGGGGGATCGATTCCTCATCCCTCAGTGATTTATCTCCCGGACTACGAAAAGGGTCACCCTTTGATACACGTACCGTCTGATTAATCCCAAGTTTTTTGGCCTGGTTTTTCAAAAGTTTGCTGCGGCCGGTCCCCCTTCGTGATTATCCTACATCCGCCCCTGTATCAGCTCCTCCTACATCCCCCCACAGAGCTGAGACATTTCTACTATACTTAAATTTTGTTGGATTACAAAAAAAACTCCCTCTCTATGATAAACTTTTATCAGGCATTGAACCTACAGTTTTGACGCAATTTTTATTAATAAAAAAACAATAAATGATCCTTTTGGTATAAAACATTGGGCCTGAGTTTTTCAAAACGGTTGCACTATTTTAACTTTTTTCAAATTCTAAGCAAATTTTTTCTTCGCCTTCTTTGTATAACGTCTAGTCTAAATTTGAGAAAAAACGCGTTTTGTTTTTCAAGTTTTATTCGTTTTCCGTATAATTTAAATCAGCAATTTATCATCCCATTTAATATAACTTAAATCTCCAATTCGTGTTTTTATTTTCAATTGGAACTACCCGGGTTGACCAGAAATGCTAATCTTACAATTTTATTATAAAAAATACTAGCCATACCAATTTACTGCAATTCCATAGGTACAGAAAGGTTTAATTAACGTCTTTGATTTGTATTTTTTCTTTTATGGAAACTTTATGACAAGCGTTTTTCCAAAAATCATAAATTTGTTTCTTTTTCATTGAAATGAGTCTCAAGTTTTTCAATTAGGTTCATAACCAAACAAAAATGAAAAAGACTCTGGTTTCTCAACGCGTGAGTCCCCGAAGGGATGAAAGTTTTGAATGCTCAATGCGATAGAAACAAACTGAATATGGATGTCTGACGCAATCAATATTGTGGAATTATCTAAGATCTTTACATTTTTTTCTGTAAACATTTTGTAAGACACTTAAGTTTCTAATTTGAAACTTTGAGTTCATCATTCAATGTTCAAGGCATAAAAAATTCTGCAATAAACTGTAATTAGGTATTTTAATAAGTTCTCGAAAGATTTTAAACAATAATGCCACTTTTTTGTATCCAGGACTACCTTATACACAGAAAAAAAGAACAATTTTTGGAAATGATTGATTGAGTATCAAATACGTTTTGCGCTACAAAATTACAAACCTTTTCAAAGTCAATTTCGAAACTACTGTAACATTTCCAGTTTCAACAACAAAAATTGCTAGTCATACAAAATCCATTTTGTGAAATTGGGCATAACTACTATTTTTCTGCCCGAATTTTCTTCATGATTATACACCGTCTCTTATGCCCAAACAACAAAAACTTTTTTTAATTAAATTTCGACTTTATCATGTAAGCAAAAACTATGAAATTTATTTGACCTGCATTTTTTTATCTATATTTAGTGTATAAAAATGTATGATTGGCATTCTCGGTCTATGATGGTCAGCCTGGGTGTTTAAAGGTTTTTCATCCGGGCTCCATTCACGTTCAATTCGATGTGTTCCGTTTTTGTGAAACCTTTATAGCAGCTGGATTGACGATTAACTCAGTTTAAATTTGGCTGAAAAATCCAATCTATTCAAAGTCTTTTTTTCCTAATTGTACAAAAAAAACTTGGAAAAACTCCACACCGTATTTGTTCGTGCTAATAAAAAGTAATTTAAATGTTTGTGACAAGTTGTGCAAGAGTAGGTAACAAAGAATATCTGTTGATGGATTTTGTTTTCTGCAAAACTATACTCAATCTAAAGTCTATAGAAACATGCCTTTCTTGCCAGTTTGTTTCAATTCTATCGATCAATCATTCAAAAATACAATTTCTAAGGTTCAGACCAGATGTAATACGTTAAATGAAAATGAAACCTTGAAAAACAGGAGCATTAAGAAGCCCAACAACAAGCATTTTGCATATTTTAAAGTCGGCATTAGTTTATGCAATTTTTCGGTTCGAATCCTCGAATTGAAGACCTATACAAAATTGTAATAATCCCAAGTATCATATTTGGCAGAATTGGAAACATTATGCTTAAAATTTATGTGTTAAAATTGATGGGAAAAAGTTTTTAATGACACGTACCAGAGAGCAAATTTTTTTCATGAGCTGCGCAAAACTTCCAAAAATTTAAAATGCTGGTACAAAATTGATTTTCTAAACTCTTTGATTCTGCTCTAGGTTCAAATTATGATCCAAACGCTTAGAAAAGTTTTACATTCTGTAAGCAAGAAATTCAAAATTTTCTAAGATAAACTTTTTAATAAAATCATTTCTTTTGGACAGCAAATTCATCAAGATTCAGTTTTCTGAGCTGCGGTTCAGACGAAATCAAATTCTTGTAATTTTGTTGTAAGATTCGTTCTGCGCTCCCTTAACCATGAAAACTTTTTAAGGAGACCATATAATTATGTATTTTGCCTCGCAAATTTTTTCTTTTGATTATCAATTATCAGTCACACTAAGATTAATAAGCGGAAAAGCTTTTTACCTTCTTATTGACAAGATATTCATTTTTTGAAAAATATAACCATGCCTATTCATTTTAGAAAATTGGAAGAATTTTTACGAAGCCAATGAAAAACTTCAATGCACTCATGCTAAATCCACATAGGTCTCACTCGATGGGCTAGAAAAATTTGAGAGTGCGATGAAAGATTTGGCTAAGTACCTGCAAGAGACGAGCAGAAATAGCATATAACTCAAAGACCGAAACCTTTTTGCATTGTTTCTCAAAAGTTTTTGATTTTTGTGATAAAATAAATTTTTTTTGGAACCTAACAACCTTGTTTATTTTATCATGGAAAAATTTAGGCTTGGTTTTTTAAGGTTTTTATACAATTGTCTCAAGAAATAAGCTTTTATTCGATAACTCTTATCAAAGCCGTATAAGGATTTGAATGCTACTTAAGCGCAAGCACCCTAAAAATCTAAAAATTGAATTCAATTTTCATTAAAAGAATTTTTTGCTGCTAAATGATTCCCAATTTCTTTGCCTCTTAAAAAGACAAAACTTGGGTTGATTCATATATGCAAAAAGTTCCCAAATTACTTGATCCATTTTGTATCTATTTATCGGCTACTTTTAAATATCATTTGTAAACAATTATTTCATCTGATAGTAGTAATGTGCTAAGGAAAAAATGGTAATAACGTTGGTGCTACAATAACCTTGGAAGCAACAAAAAAATTCGATCACTAAACTTCAAACGTTCACTTCGAAACACTGGGAACTGTAGCTGCACACTGATGCTTACTCTTCTTGCCCATAAAAACTGCGAATTCAAAAAACCGAAAAAATATGCCAAGTTGGCATTTAGTTCTATAGAAAAAAGTAAGTAGAGGCTTCTGTTTCATAACTGAATTTTGTTGTTCTCCTCATATGCTGATAATTAGAAGTATAAAAAAAAGACTACTACATTTTTAATGCATATTGTTCAAACATAGTTTTTTTCTAGTTTCTGATCTGAAAAATCCAAAAGTTTGCGCCATTTTGGCTAATTTAGACTTTTCAAAACTCTTTTTGTTTAGTTAGAAACTGGAGAGTACTTAAATACCATTTATACCAAATCTACCATCAAAAACTGCTTCAATCTGTTTCCCTAAGGATGAGAGAGACATCGGGAAATGTACAAGTAAACCAAAATCAAGATTCTTTATGTTTTTTTTTGCAGAAAAAACCTTAATCTATAGACTTCAAAATTGAATTTTCTATGAGAAAAAATGAAGTTCAGATCTGAAAAACAGCATGTGGGAGACATGAAGAATTTTTGATCCTTCTGGAAAATTTTACTGGGCACGGAAAAAGTCAAGAGTGATCGATCTAAGCTTAATTGTTGAACTGACCAACATATGTGCGGAGTTCAACAACAATCAATTCAAGTTTTTTTTTGCTGTTTATTTTTTTTGTGTACGAATGCTGGAGATTTTTTTCGCACAAGAAAAGACGGGAAACTTTTTTCCGAAAAGACCTGCACAAAAAATATGAACTGAGTTACATGTTCTCGGGACATGAGAAAACCGGGCTTTTTTAAAGCTTCCTCCCACGCAAAAAACCCGAGTTTGTGTCAGACACCTACGTTGATTGCAGTGTACCCTTCACGAGCAGGCAAAAAACCAGAAAACAAAATTGCTTTATGAGGATAAACGCCTCGATTTATTTGAGTAAAAATGTGTTGCAGTAAAATTCCAGCGTGTAAATCGAATACTTAGCGCAACAGAGAGCTGGTAGAACAAACTTTAACTTGAAGCTGTAGCTGTTGAAGTTGTAACTTTTGAGACTGTTTGGCGTGAGTTTGATGAGAATTTCAAAATAAGTTAGGCAGGTGTAGCGGCATAGCTTGGTTGATGTTTCGGTCGTTATTTAGTTGCAATAGGCAATTTTTCTTTTTCATTACACAAATCTCTCTTGATAACACGTGTCGAGGTCCGAGACTGCAGAAAAAAACTTCAAAGACGCGACTTGAGAGAAGACAGATGGAGCGACTTAAGAAAAGCCTATAGCGGCGCCACATAAGAAAAGACTGATATTGCGCCGGTCAGGAGTTGTAATTTTTCAATCGCGCCGGTCATCCCAATCCCTTATGTAGCACCGGTCCCGAAGATCTTTTGAGCTGCGGCAGCCGCAGTGTTGAGTTTTTAGTCGCACAGGTCCGGAATTGGGATTTTTCAATCAAGCCGTTCGCATCATTTCCATATGTCGAGCCAGTCCCGAGAGTTTTTCGAGTCGCGCCGGTCGCTGTGCTTTTTTCCAGTTGCGGTGTTCTTTAATTGCCAATTTCCGGTCGCGACAGTCTGGAACTGCCAATTAAAAATCGCGAAATTCTGGAATTGCTAAATTTGAATCGCGCTATTCTTTTCCTAAATTGAGGACCTCGATCCGGGAAGGTTAACTTTTAACACGATCTAATTCCAATTTAAATTGAGCTTTTATAATTGTTCCAAAAAATTTAAAAACATTCAATGTTGAATCTGAAAACCATTCATGGGTTGCGCCTTCAAGTACAGGTCCCAGCCTTCATACCGGTCATAGTAGATTTTATTAGTTCTTTTCTTTTATAAATTTTGAAATAAAACTGATACGTAGCTTGCTTTGCTTTCTTTCAGAAGCAGACAAAATACAAGAAAAAATTGGCTAGCTGAAGATGATAACGTCAACCTATTTGAGTAGCTGTATTTTGCAGTAAAATTTGAGCAAGTTTTCTTTTTAGAAGTTCAGAAGTGCTATACGCGTTTTTAGATAAGCTTCATGCAGTGTTGTAAAAATAGTTTTTTTCCTTACATTCATCATCAATTTTAGTGTGATTGCTGCCTTAAGATAGTCTTCAAATGGTTCAAATGAGTGGATATCAACTGCTGAAAAAAATTGAGATTAATTTACCCAATTTCTTTGATTTTATTCAAGGCCCCCTCAACCTAACAACGTTCCAGAAGTTTTTATTAGTTGTTTGCATGATTTTAGATTTTGAAGCAAATTGATACATATGTTGCTGTGGACTACTTCAGGAGCAACAAAACCAGAAAAAAATTTGCTATTAGAAGATGAACACCTCAATCTATTTGAGTAACTCGATGTTGCAGTAAAATTGAGCGGGTAACTCAATTACATAGCGCAAAGTAGAGACAGCAGAGCAAGAATAGGAGCTTTTAATTGTTGGAGACGAAGCTATTGAGGATGTTTGGCCAGAGTTTGATGAAAAGTACCAGATAAGTTTGCAAGAGTAGTCTCATTGCTTGGCGGAAGTTTTGTTGGATTCCGCAAATTGTTATTCAGCTGCCGTCGGCAATCTTTTTGTTTCCTTAGACAAATCTTTCTCGATAAGTCGGGTCGAGGTCCGCGACTGAAGACAAGATGTTACAGGCTCGACTTAAGAAAGACTGACGGAGCAGCTCAAGAAAAATTTTTAGCGGTTCGAGTCAAGAAATGTCTTTCGGTATTTTGCTCAGTCGCGCCAAGCAAAGTGGTTATTTCTCAGTCCTCAGTCGCACGTATCCTGATTTGGAAATTTTGGTTGTTTGTTCTTAGTCGCGCAGGTCCGGAATTGGAAATATTCAATGGCGTCGGTCACGCCAATTCCTTATGTCGAACCGGTTCCAACATGTTTAGAGTCGCGCTAGTCGTGGAGTTTAGTTCTCAGTTTCTCAGGTCTGAAATTGGAACTTCGCAATCAAGCCGTTCGCGATATTTCCTTATGTCGCGCCAGTCCCGACGGTTTTTCTAGTCGCGCCGGTCGCTGTATTTTGTTTCATTTGCGGCGTTCTTCATTTGCCAAGTCCCGGTCAGGACAGTCTGGATTTTCCAATTAAAAGGCGCAAAATTCTGGAATTGAGAAATTAATTGGAATCAGTTCCTGAAGTTTTGGAATTGATTCTAATGTAAAATGAGCTTTACGAATTGTTCCCAAAATTTTTAAAAACATTCAATGTTGAATCTGAAAACCATGCATGAATTGTTCCTTCCAGCTTTCTTTTTAGAGGTACTTTACGCGTTTTTAACGAAGTTTCATGCAGTGCTGTAATTATAGACTTTGGCTCTACATTAATCATCAAGTTTGACCTGATTGCCTTTAGGTAGTCATCAAATGGTTCAACTGAGTACAGTTTAACTACAGAGTATCGCAGAGATTATTATCAGCGACTTGTTTGATTTCATTGATAACTCTCTCGACCTATAGCGATTTATATTAATTTTTATCCGGCCTTTACTTATTTTTAGAAATTTCGAAACAAATTGATGGTTATTCCGAGAAGTAAAATATTGGTATATCAAGTTTTTGAAGTTAAGGTTGCGGCCAAGAGCCTTGTAGTATTGGTCACCGACTGTGTATAAATTTTTTGTAGTTTTCTTTCAATATTGTTTTTTTTTCTGCATATGTTTTTTCTGCATATTGTTTGTTCAAAGATTTCTTGTTGCATGTTTTTTTTGTTCAAACTTTTTGCTTTAGTTAGGATATATTAATGCTATATTGAAATTAAGAATGCCTTTTGGAGTTTTTGTAACTGCCTTTTGGCTCTTTTTCCTTTTCCCCCACCTGCAAAATTTTACTAGTGAAATTTTGTTCACATGATCCGAATAATACAAAAATTGGCATGCGAACTATATCGGCCATGGCAAACATATTTGGTCTTATGGTTAACCTTGTAAAACCCCTCTTTACACCATAAAAATGGTGCTTGCGTGAGATGGGGGGGGGAAAGAGCCTGTTTTTTTCCTAATTGGTTTTGATAAATTTTTGGAAAAAGGCAAAATATTCTAAAACTAGACTGGTGGCGGGGACGAGATAGTGAATTGGTTCTTTCAAAAACTAGGACTTTTCTCGCGCTATTTTTTTCTGCTCAATTTCAGCCCCGATCTTATCTAGAGGAATGTGGCTGTTTTGGTAAGAGGCGAAAAATAGTGAATAAATTTACAAGGTCGGATATTAGATCACAATTTTACGCACTACTGCTAAGTTTACACTAGCACCAATCATTTTCGAATTATTGACAGGATTCCTCAAACCACGACTTTTGGACATATTTGGGCATGTTTCTTAGCAAGTTTTGTTTTGCGTATTTTTTAGTTTCGAGTTTTTAGTGTACTGCGTCAAACTTGTACCTAATTTATACAGTAGAAAAATGCCCTCATGATACAAAAAAGCCACAAAACATGATGCTTTTCTCTAATTTGTCGTTTTTGCTTGCTTTTTTCTTTAATCCAGTTGATGTCAGTTTGTTTGAATTGAGTAGTAATATACTGATTTTAGCGCAACCTGTGTGAATCCGTCGCCCTCTTTTGATTGGGTCGACATCGTTTGATCATTTTTGGAGCCCCTTTTTTTCCAGAATGCCAATAAAGCCATAGATTTATGGTTAGTAATCCTGAAAACTCTCGTTGGGGTTTGAAAATTTTTCCATCACTGTCATCATTTCGATGAAGTGCGCAGGAAGACCGCACAATATTTTTTCATGGTTGAAAAAAATTTGACCGAAGTCTTATTTTTGAATTACTGGAAAGCCAAAAAAAATTACGGTCCAGCTCTTCTTAGGGCCTTAATAAAAAACAGTGAAACTTTAATTTTCAGCAATTATGACTTTTACAACGCGAACGGATAAGTATTTCAGATGAAGTTTGTAAGTGTTCCGTTTTTCCGAAAACACGACAGTCCTGTGTTTTAATGGGGGCCATCCTATTAGCGTGTGTGCCGATTAGCATGTCCATGTAAAAAATGTAGTTTAAAGATTCGCAGTTACACGTTTTGTTTACTGAAATTTGTGATTTCGAACAGCATGTACTGAGCTGAATTTTTAGTTATGCGAAAGTGAAATTTTATTTTAACTCCCATAACGAATCAAGTGGTTGTCGAATTTATTTGAAGTTTGGCTACTTTGTTTTTCGTCTGAAAGAACACCCAATTAAAGCAATTAACGCATGCTAATAGGCACACATGCTAATCGATACCTCCTCCACCCCCCCCCCCCCCCCCGTTTTAATTAGCACAAAAATTTTTTTGATCATTCTTTTTACTTCTCAAACAAACAAGAAAACTTTTTGAATCTGTTCGTTTAATTAACTACAATATTTATTTACAAGATTTACAATTTATCTGAGCGCAGACTATCAAGACTCACTTTGGACTTCGGATGGCGGCTCAAACCTCAATTTATAATCAAAATTTTATTTAACATTATATTGTGATAAATGATTTATTCGATGAAATAATTGTCCATCTGTAAACAAAATTTATCATTTCCAATTTCTTTTTAAATTTTGATTTTTTGTTCACAGTTTCTAGGTTATACGACATGGAATCATCATTCATTTATGCTTGCAAGTCTAATATTATACCACTTAATTTTAATCAAACTAACTTCATAATATATACTTCATACAAAACTAGAGGCTATTTTTACAAAAATACTTGCTACAAAAACATATCCATATACTGTAAATAATAGAGATATGGGTATTTTCTGTTATACGAACAAAAATTAAACTTTTTTCTTAAAAAAACTGAATTATAATGTTCAAATCTGATTGGTTTGAAAATAATTCCAGTGAAATATTTTCATTGAAAAACGAAGCCCAAATGAGTTTTTTGTTGTTTTGGGCGTATAACAATAATCAACAATAAAGAAATTTATTTAAACAATAGACTTAAATGACTTGCCGCCAAAATTTAGCTAAAAATTTCATGAATTGTATTTTATTACACAAAATATTTCGGTGAGCTAAATGATATATGTATAAATAGACAAATGGGGGTTTTCGGTTATACCCCCATAAATTATGGTAATAATCACAATTGTTACTTGGGTTTTAGATAGGCAATTTTGACGCATAATTGTTATCTTTCACTTTGCTAATTTTTTCCAGGTGATACTTGTTTTGACAAAATCATTAAGTAGTTCAATGAAAAAAGTCTAAAAACAATCAAAACACGCTGGAAACAATCTAGAAGTATTCCATTTGTTACCGTAATGTAACAAAAAAGAAATTTTAAAGAAATTGTTCAATAAGACAGGTTGAAAACAATGTACGATGATATCTGAAGAGTCCTCTTCTATTTTTTTGGATTTGTTTTTCAAAAATTTGTAGAAGTTAAAACAAGAGGAAATTTCAGATATTAAAATAGTCGAGTAAAACGAGCATTCTTTTCTTCACGACGGAAAGTGAACTTAACAATTGAAAACGGATGAATTATACTTTGGGCTCCACGTAGTTGTCGATGAGATCGTACGGCATCGGCTCCGAATAGATTGTACTCTCAGCTCTTGTTCCTTTTTTCCCGACACTTTTTTCATTGGATTCAGTTTCATTGAAGCCATTCTGAAATTTGCAAAGAATGACTTAAGTACTTTTTTGAGGCAATTAATCTTAGCAAATTAACCTTCCTTAACTAGCAATCTTACTCATCTTGGTTAAAATTGCTATGTTTAAATTGTTTGAACCCATGGTGCTGGGCAAAACAATTAGTTTCAATAAACCTCGTGTTTGGTTACAGTTGCGAAAGTTTTGATTTTCAAAAAACTGACGAGCAACTACCAAATGTTAGGAAAGTTACAGGGAAAAAGTGTATAAATGTTTATACATATAAAAAAGATAGCAATAAATTTAATGCTCCGACTTTGGAAGAAAGTAATAAGAAGTTGTTGCTAGGTGTAGCCAGCTTAAGAAGTAGAGTTTCGTCCGAAAAAATCCACCCCAAGCAGAAATTTTCTATCACTTTCTCCGAAAATTGAAACATCGTATATAGATAATAAGTTAGTTCCAAAATGTGTAATAAACCAAAAATATAGAAAACTTATCAATAAAAGAGCACCAACTTGCGCAAGCGAAGAAGGTAACTCATTAAGATGCGTTCAAGCGCCGATAAGATAGTATTCAATTCAAATTAATTACTATCTTCTCTAGACCTGATTGTGTTTAACCCATGTACTTTCTATCCAGAGAAAAAATTAAATTGAAGAAGAAAAACAAGAATTTTTGAATTTTTGTGGTTCACTGCTTTTGCATCTTACTAGGATAGTTTTAAAGGAATAAATTCAAAACAAAATCAGACTTGAAAAATGTTTTATATAATAATTGCTTCATTTCAACTATAACGATTATTGCTTTTTTTTCTGGGTGCATTATTTTGATCCAAAGATATTTTTACAAAAATTTCAATGCTTATTACCAAAACGATTTGTTGAAATAGTGGCAATCAATCAAATCAAGTAGCTATTTGTTTATTTTATGCATTACATTGTCTATAGAGTGTTTAGGCTCAGTTAAAACTTCTCTAATGATAAGTATTTAGTAAAATATTTTATAGTGTCCTTTTTAGAAGAAAAATCAAAGGCACAAAGCTATTCGGAATTCAATAATCTTTTATATAGAAGCTTTTCGATAAAATTAACCCAGATTGGTGAATGTATCAAAAAGTGAACATTTCCATTGAATATCATGGCGTTTTAAGTGAACTACTTATGTGTCTTCAAAAGACGTATAATTACTCTAAGCATTTTCAAACCATCAATCAAAAAATTGTTCAAGTTGTCAGTTACATAAATTTTTTAGATTAATCTATCTTTTAGCTATGTCGGGCCGACTTAGAAAAATTTTTTACTTCTAAATTAATGAATTGGTTGTTGTGGATGGTTTTATAAAAGACAAAACCAGCGATAAAATGAAAAGTATTTATTTTTAATTATAAGAAGGCTGTTAAAAAATATATTCCGAGTGGAAAAAAAAACAGTTTGAAGTCAGACTTGAGTTAAATCAAAAATATGACCTTTCACTCTGTTAACTTTGGTTTAAAAAAGCTCAATCCAGTTCGATTCAAGTTAATTTCTTAAAAAGTGATCTAGGTTTTGGCGTTGTACGACTCAAAAAATGAATATAAAATCTAGATAAAATTCAAAAAAACTTTTGTAGGGAGATTTTTTACAACATATACTTTACGTAATTTGAGGTGTATATGTATGTATGTGTATGTGTTTGTGCGTTATAAAGGTAAAAAGTAGTTAAATTATATTTATTTTGTTGAACACGTTTGTGGCTCTCTTACCTTATCGTTATCAGCGATCACGTTTGAGATCTCAGGTTGTTGTTTGTTTTTCTGTTCAGGTGACTTTGGTTTGGATCTCCGACAACAAAAGCAGCAGCACAGCGAAAGGCTGCATATAAGCAAACAAACACCCAAGAACACTGCCGATGCCACAATAACCATCATCAACTGTTCATCTTCAGATGTTTCTAAATTTCATTTCAAACATTTGACAAAAACTAAAGTGAAAAATAGCCGGTTACTATAGCATCCGAACACATTGTAAATGAAAAAAAAAATTGTTTAAAATTCCTTAAGAGGCCAAACTGTGCACTGGATAGGCGTATAATTTTGGGTTTGTATGTTCCTAAATTTGTGATAAAAGCCTTTAAACATGTTAAAGTTTTGTCGGAACGATCAAAGAAAATGAAAAAAACAAAAGAAAAACAAAAGGAGTGTCTTTATTGCGGAATCGGCTTACAATTCACAAAATACAGTTTGGCCTCGTAATGTTTGGTTTTTCTGCTTTTATGAGGACAAAGGCAACAAAACTTAGTCGACAAAAAATTACTATTGAATTGAGTAATCAGCAATTAGTTTGCAATTCATTTAAAAACGGCCTATCTAAGCTGAAGTTACATTCTATTCAGGGGCGGATCTAGGATTTTCTCGATGGGGATGGGGGGGGATTTTTAAAAAATTTAAAAACTTCGAAATTTTTGTCGACCTTTTTTGTAGGTCGACCAAATTGATTTTCTGAGCTCTGCCAAAGCACTACAAAGACTTTGTTTTGGCCGAAATTCTGCGCCGCTGGCAAAATTTAGAAAAAAAACAGGCCAAAAAAGCGTTTTTAGGCACTTTTTGGAAAAATTTTACGAAAAAAAAATGCGTTTTTTCGGCGCGCACTCCCCCCTCAAAATTAGTATATACTGGCGCCCAAGGCGCCTTTAAGGTCCGTCACCAAAAATGGAGATCTCAAAATAGTACAAAGGGGGACCCTTTGGGTCGGCAGGGTGTCGAATCCCTGAGGGTAGGGCGTCCGCCCCCCCTAAATCCGCCCCTGATTCTATTGCCAAATAAATGCTGTAGGTAGACTGAAAAACAAAAGAAATTTTTTAATCCAGGCTGATGAAATGTTTCAGAGTTTTTCATGTTAATGAAGTCACGCCACGAAGGGCTTTAAAATGAGAAACCATAATCTGATGATTTTTTTTTAGTAGCTGGTTTTGCGTAGAAAAAAAAACACACTCGAAAAACACAACTCTCAGTGGTGTTGGAACAACAAGTAGAAGACAGGTTTGAGCTAAGTTTCTTCTTCTAGAAGCTTCAGCTTCTAAAAATTTGGAATTGTTACGACCCCCATAATTCTTAGGCAATATGATCAATTTCATACAGATTTTTTACAGAATGTATAAAAAATTATATTCAAACTATTTAAAGATTACCTACAGATTATCTACAGATTATGTACATGTTCTACAGAGTAGAAAAATTTATAATTTGTTGCTAAAATCCATTTTTTTTGGTTGAAAAAGAGTCTGTATAGTATCAATCATCGCTTGTGAAGTATCGTTGTAGATGAATCGTTTCTAGTACTTACGTTAATCGGTAGATTTCTCTGTATGCAATCAATTTTCATCCATTTTTGTCACTGCGGGCTGACATTGGATAAACCTTTAAACTAGTCACTCCTTGTATGTTGCAACAGTTAGTTTTCAAAGTTTATTCACATGCCCTCATGGCGTTTTGCGGGATGTTTTGAAGCCAAATTTTTCTTTTTTAGAATAATTAAGTCGTTGTTCATGCAAAAATGATAGTTTTGTCCTCTCGGTTGTGTTCTTCGGTAAAAAAAAAACAATTTTGTTCGGTCTCGATTTTCTAACCATTTTTGAAGGAATGATGAAACAAAGGAATGTTTACACAAGTTTGTTATTTACAAAATAAATCGGAATTCGAAAAGTATTCACTTTCTAAGAGAAGCCCTATGGTATTGAAATATTGATAACATAAGCTCAAACTTAAAAAAAGATTATCTACACTTTTTCTCTCAAAGTTATGGTGGTTTGAACATTGGGAGTTTGGTTATTTTGAAAAACTTTCAATTTTGATCATTTTGTGAGGTTATGGGTGGTTTGAAATTTTCACATTGATACAATCAGTCTTGTTCAGCTTTGGGAAGTTTTGTTCAGCTTTTCAAAAATTATTCAACCAAAAGCTATGTAATTCAGATATTGATTTTTTTTGCATACAATTAAATAGCAAAAAGACTAAATGGAGTGTCGCAACTCAATTTAGAACAATTTCTCCGCGTACGCGATAATATCAATAAAATTATCGCATGTTGGCAATCTTTTAACCCCCATACCTTTTCGAAAGATGATTACAGGTGAAATATCTTTATAAGTTGAAGCTCATTACAACAATGCTTTTCGATTCCGTAAAAATTGCGTCAAAAGTGCAAGTTAAAAAGTCAAAGTTTGTCAGGCAAAAAAACCACCCCGAGCTCAAATATTCCGTCACTTCAAATTTTTCCGTCTCTTCGAAAGCCGGAAAAAATAGCTCTAGGACTACGATTTATCATACAAGATAATTGCAACTTTGAAAATAAAAACAAAAGTCGAAAACTACAGCAACGGTTTCTGCATGTACAAACTAAATTTTTCACAATCAAATATTCCATTAAGCTGTCTAACTTTTTTCAGGATTTTTCATTGAATCATATTGAATCCTTACCTCGCTTTATTTCCTAATAATTTTCTCACCTTTGTCGCAAATGTCGCCTTCGAATCCATGCTGACAATTACAACTTCCAGTCCTTGAATCGCATATCCCATTGTTGACGCATGTGCAATTTTGTTCACACAGTGTTCCATATTTTCCTTCTGGGCACGTCCATTTTTCGCATTTCTCGCCAGTCCAGAAGTTCTTACATACGCACACGCCGTTATCATGCTGGCATTGAAGAGAATTCGTTTGGTTGCAATCACATTCATGATCACATGAATCACCGTAAGTCCAATTTTCACAAATTTCTTCACAAAAACCTCCTTGGAAACCTGGCGTACAGACACAAGTACCATCAAATCTATTACATTCCGCACCATTTTCACAGTGACATTCATGGGCGCAGTTCTCACCCCAAAAGCCAATACGGCATGGGGCTTCGCAGAACTCGCCAGAATAACCCGGATGGCATTCGCATTGTCCGGTGAAAATGCTGCAAACTGCACCATTCTGACAATCCGGGCAACTTTGAGCGCAATTAACTCCCCAAAATCCACCGCCTGGTACACATTTTTTTGAACAATCTAGTCCCTACACAAATAAAAATGGGCTGTTTTCATTCTTCTAAATGCCTTCCACCAAACTACTGACAATCGAACTAATTAGACTACGACAAACAATATTTTTAGTAAAACCGCTAATTACACCTTAAAGTTAATGCTAAGCCAAATTCGTGGGGAGGAAAGAGAGGTTTTTTTGGTTTTATTTTATGCACTGATATAATGCATTTTAAGTTCAGCTCATATATGCTGTTTTTGTAAGCCTTACAAGCGATATTGACCCTCGTCGATTAACCATTTTTAATTACTTTTTGATATGTAACTTACCCAGTATCCACTCTTGCAAATGCATTCACCAGAAACGTGATCACATGTCTGTGAGTTGCTTTGCACACACTGACAATGAGAATTACAGTCTTTACCATGTGACCAAAGTGGGCAAATCTGATCGCAAAAATCTCCGTAAAACCCAGCATTGCAATCACAATTTCCATTGACAATGTTGCAAAACAAGGAGTTTGCTTGTACGCATTGACAGTCCGAGATACAGCCATCTCCGTACGTCCAAGTTGGACACGTCTGGTCACAATTGGTTCCTTCGAAACCAGGTTTGCAGTGGCAATTTCCGTTATCAGGATCACAAGACAATGAGTTGGACTGTACGCATTGACAGTCCAAGCTACAATATCCTCCATACCTCCACATTTGGCAAGTTTCACAGCTGGGTCCTTCGAAACCAGGTTTGCAGTGACAATTTCCGTTATCAGGATCACAAGACAATGAGTTGGACTGTACGCATTGACAGTCCAAGCTACAATCTCCTCCATACCTCCACATTTGGCAAGTCTCACAGTTGGGTCCTTCGAAACCAGGTTTGCAGTGGCAATTTCCGTTATCAGGATCACAAGACATTGAGTTGGACTGTACGCATTGACAGTCCAAGCTACAATCTCCTCCATACCTCCACATTTGGCAAGACTCACAGTTGGGTCCTTCCAAACCAGGTTTGCAGTGGCACTTTCCGTTATCAGGATCACAAGACAATGAGTTGGACTGTACGCATTGACAGTCCAAGCTACAATCTCCTCCATGCCTCCACATTTGGCAAGTCTCACAGTTGGGTCCTTCGAAACCAGGTTTGCAGTGGCAATTTCCGTTATCAGGATCACAAGACAATGAGTTGGACTGTACGCATTGACAGTCCAAGCTACAATCTCCTCCATACCTCCACATTTGGCAAGTCTCACAGTTGGGTCCTTCGAAATCAGGTTTGCAGTGGCAATTTCCGTTATCAGG